GTGGTGACTTCAGTGGTGAAACTGGAATCGCAACATTTAGCACAGATCGCAAAAGGAGTTCAACGATTAACGGGAGCGAAAAATGTGAGGATCAAAACAGTGATTGATGAATCTCTTGTTGCTGGATTTACAATAAGGTATGGAAATTCAGGATCCAAATTGATTGATATGAGTGTGAAGAAACAACTTGAAGATATTGCTGCACAGCTTGAAATTGGGGATATTCAATTAGCTGTATAATTAATTGTTGTGCTTTTCTTAATTTTAATAATTACTACTTAATGATTATTTTTGTAATATATAATTTTGCGTAAAACATAATACTATTCTGAATTTTTGGATGAATGTAAATTAGTTGCTGTATGCAAATTCAGATCAGTTGATCTTTCGAATCGATTAAATACAAAAAATCGAAAAAATCGAGCTATTATATTTCATAATCTTAGATATGTGTACAAAATTTACATCATTCATATAGTCCATGAGTTTCCGAAGCAACAGTTACAAGCTCTTACGAATCTCAAAATTAAAATTTCATATAGGAATTGATTTATCTAATCTTTAAAATTAAATTGAATTAAAATATTTTAAATGATTGGATTTTATATGAAAATTATTATAGATTTTACTTCTTAATATGTCAATGAATTTTTTTTTGTGAAATATTAATCAAAACTTACTCAAATGAAAAACGACGCTGGAAATAACATTTAAGAGCTCTTCAAAGTTACAAACAACATTGAATTATGATTCTATGGTGTCCCAAAACTAATGGAATGTGTTAGACGCTCAATCCTTAAAATCCATTAACAATTATTTTTTAACTAACAAAAAGTCATATCTTCACTAAGAAAGCATTGATAGCTTAGAGATGAAGTGTGTACTCGCAAGTCTATAGGTGGTTAGGGATGATAACAGGGCGGGGCAGGACGGGTAGGTTGAGCTTAATCCGCATAATTTTTAGTCCGCCCCGCCTCATGCTGTATAACATTTTTTTTAATTTTCAACCCGTCCCACCTCGTCCGGCATAGATTCGCCCCGTATAATTTTTTTTTTAATATTTTTTTTTTTAGTTAAATTTAATCTATTAAAAATAAAATTCATAAAAATAAATTCACTTTTTCATTAAGTTATATTAATTTAATAGGATAGTGAGTTAAAATTTTATTTTTTAGAGGTCAGTTAGGAAACATGTAAGAAATTGTATTATTTTTTATTGAACCATTTTCATTTACTATCTTGAATATTTTAGTAGCTTTAAAGAAATGATCTTAATTAATAATGTTCTATCACTCTTATAACATGTAAAATGTTAAAATTAAGTTTGAACCCACATAAAATCACATATACTGATCGTAAAAGAAGAATCTAGAACTTAGAGAGAAAATATCTAAGGAAGAAGAAGACTTTGTTATTGATCAAAAAAGTGTAGTTTAGCTATTTATACATCACATTATCTGTTAGTAACTAACCTTCTTTTAACTAACATTCTAAAGGTTGTTATAACTAACTGATGGAAATGACTAGTTTACCCCTAACTATAACCGTGCTAACTCACTACTTAGCTTTTCATATAACAACATATACCCGCAACCCTCCCTGCATTAATTTTTAAAAAATTCACTTCAACCCGCCTCGCACGACCTTTAATCCACCCCGCCCGTCTCGCACAACCTTAAACCCGCTTTTCCCGTATCCGCCATGTCCCATTGTCATCCCTATAGATGGTTTGGGATTGATAAACCTGAAACTATGAAACAAAGCAGTCATTTCCAAAGCTTGTTGGGATATTGAGAATAAAGCTGACAAACTATGGATTAAGTGGATCTACTTATACTTACTACATTAAGAGACAACAGTTTAATCATACAATATATGAATTTGTACGCTCTATTTGAATTGAGAGAAATACATGAATTTTTGAAAAGAAATAAAAGGAGATGACGATGAAAGAAACAATAATGATACTCACTATCAAACGATCCCTAAGTATCTTTAAAAATACCCATTAAGTCTTGTTTATCACCCCTAGACGGACGAACAGGAGATTTTTATACTAAACAATAATAATAAGAATGAAACAATAAAACATAAGTTATTCATTAATCAAATTGAAACCTAACAGCTAAGACATGAATTCTAAGTCAAGTTCTGATTTAAGCAATGCACTAAATCAACTAAATATGAAAGATAAATTAAAACTTGAAATCTAACTTAAGTTTTGATGACTCGATGTAGCTGAATTTTTTAAAGTTGACAATCTTAGATATATATTATGATTCTCCTTGATAAAGTTTAGGACTGTACTACTAAACTTAAATGCCTATCTATTGAGAGTAAATAAATTAATATTCACAAAATCTTTTGTAAAAAATTATTCACACACGTTATTTACATCAAAATAAATAATTCAATCATAACAATTACTATACTTTAATGTAAAATTACAAATCACTTAATTATGATAAATAATAAATAAGTGTATGAGCTACATTTTATCTTGTATTTGGTGATTTAATTCAAACGCTTAATACATATGAATATTTACTTTATTTTTATTATCGTCTATCTATTTGATATTTTAAAATAAAAATCACATAAAATAAAGGTCAAGGGAGTACGTTTACTTTTTCGCTGATAATGATATTGCCTAGCTTAATAAGAGAGGAAGTTAGAATTTAGATATGATCATGATTAACATTAATTGAATTGTTTTTTATGGGTGAGAAGATAAAGTTATTATGAGATACTTTATTTTAATTGTAGTTTGAAATAATTTTTAGATAGTTATGTGATTGTAAATTATTTCATTTCAAATAAAGTGAAATTTTCAAGTTAAAATTATTTTTGATATGATAAGATAATATCTTTTGAGGCTTATTAAAAAGAAAAAATGTGCCACGTAAAATAGGACGAAGAAAGTATATTATATGGATTGATTCATATTTAAAGATGTGTCCACAGTCCACACTAATATTTCAGTTAATGATAAAAACACACGTTTTTCCTAATAAAAAATTACAATATTTTTGATATTATGAATTCTTTTAGAAAAAAATAATCATATATTGAAGAAGTAATTATGCATTATGCATCATCAAATGATGTGCTACCGTGGATGAGGCTACATTTTTCTTAATAAAAAATTTCGAATTCGAATAGTAAATATAAAAAAGTCCATTATAAGGAGCGCTTTCTTTTCAATAAAACCCTATAAAATATAAATCTGAAATAATCAAGCTCCAATATAAATACTAAACACTAAATAAAAAATTACGCATTACTCAAAAAAAACTTCACCATGAATACAAAATTGAAAACAACAAAATGTAAATAAATAGCCCTCAAAATCTGACCTAAGCGGTTGGCGGCTATTAATTATAAAAATTGTAGGAGTAATAATTATCAACATTTTTTCCTTCAAAAATAATCTTGAAATACGATCAATTATAATTATGCATATTTTTTGAATACGCCGAAGTAACACAAGTTTGTTTACCTATAAATTTCATTCTTTCTATGTTTCCTTTTGCCACCCAACTTTCCATTTCTTTGAACAAAAAAAAGCAAAAAACTTTCCATTTCTGAGTTTCTCCATCAAACTAAACTCTAATAGTTAAAACCCAGTTCTTCAATTTCACTCAATTTTGTAGATTTTAAAGAATCTTTCAATTTTTTTATCCCCAAATCCATCTGGGTTTGTAGAAAAGTAAATAAAAATCGAATCTTTTTCTGCTGTGTTCTCCTCCATCGCATCAGGTGAATGTTACTACAATCTTTACCCTTTTGTTGTTGATAAATGTGAGAAATTTTAGTACTATTAGCTGTTTTTTGTTTGGGTATTTAGTATGTTTTTCGTGAAATTTCAGAATTTTAGTTTTTGACCCTTTTAAGGTGCAGAGTTCATTCTCATTTCTTGATTATTTTGAATGTGATCTTTGCTTCATGTGGGAATGTTATTAGAGTGTAATTCAACCAGTTAATTGATTTAAGGCTTGGTTCCGAATAAGTTGAGATCGGCTATATTCAATTATTTGTATCTATTCCAGTGGTGCATTCAGAATTTCACTAAGGGGTCGGAAAATTAAAATGTAGTGCTTGAGATTTGAGTTTTGAACCCCTGAACAACTAATCCAACTTCTTATCTTATGTAAGGATGTTCAAAATCTAGAAGCTAGAACTAAGATGTCTCAAAGGTGGAATTCATTCTGACAAGCTAACACAAACTTTAGTACCTTGGATTTGAATTTGTGATCTAAAATATTTTTTTAATTTCTTTAGTTAGTACACAAATATGTAATACCATTGGCTGGTGCATTGATGCTAAAAATCAAATAATATTATAACGATAACTGTATTTTAAACATGTCTTGATATTTACCGTTCAATGGATAAGATAGGAGATACTCCCTCCGTTTCACAAAGAATGACCTGGTTTGACTTGGCACGGAGTTTAAGTAAATAAAGAAGACTTTTGAATCTTGTGGTCCTAAATTAAAGTTATGTCAAATGTACAAAATTGCCCTTAATCTTGTGGTCTTAAACATGCCACGTGGAAAACAAAAAGTAAAATGTTACCAAAAAAGGAAAGAGGTCATTCTTTTTGAAACTGACTAAAAAGGAAAGGATGTCATTCTTTGTGAAACGGAGGGAGTATATATTATACATAAAAGTTTTTAAAGATATCGTATATTTATGGTGTAACTTTTTTGCCAAGGGGTTCTGGTGAATCCCTTGCTACCCTCTAGATCACCCTCCTTCAGGGACGGAGCTAGAGGGGTTGGGGGTTTGGGGGGTAGGAGGGGAATTCATCCAAGCCTGCTTTGCTCGAGAATCACACTGTATATACGCGGTGAATTTTTAAAAATGTATAAATATAGTAGATGATGAATTCTCTTGGTAAAAATCTTGCCTTTGCCGCTAATTTCGCGCTACATAGGTCTATTCCGCTCCAAGTTGATGTGTTATTAGTAGGAGCAAATATGGTTTTTGGGTGACCTCTATGTGGGGTTTAGTATATGTTTTCAAGCAATTCAGAATTTAAAGTTCGTGTCCTGATCAATTTGATGTACATGCTGTTGACACCCAATTTTGACCCAAAAACACAATACAACATAGGTAGCCATCCCAGCGTACAACAGAAACAACCATCTTCCCCTCTCCATTATCGCGTCCAGTGCGAGAAACAGTCCGCAGCAGCCCAGAATCCAGCGCGCATCCATCTTCCCCTCTCCATTATCGCCCGTACGCGAAGCTTCTAGAATCGATCCAGGTGTCTCAATGTCGTAATCAGGCGGCCCTCACCTTTTTTCCGTTGAGGAATTGTACGAGAATCGTACTCATTCAAGCTGGCAGTTTTCGAATTTCAAATTTCAAATTGGAAATTCACCCAATTCTTTCATCCGGTTTCCCCTCCAATTTCCAGCCCAAAATCTCCTCTATTTAAGCCTCTTTCTTCTTCATTGTTAGGGGTTGGGAAGAAGATAGAACGAAATAGGGGATAGAAAAGAAACACAACTTGTATAAGAAAGAAACTACAAATTACAGTGAGTTGCTAAGGAAATAGGCTTAGTATATATTTTCTCTTTTGTTCGTGGGTTGCTGGGGTTGGCAGAAGCTCGTTGGAGTCTTTCTGTGGTCGTCTGCTCGTTCTCGTCTCGGTTCGCTGCCCGGAAAGAGGTAATGCCTCCTCTCTCACTTGCGTTTTCGATTCCAAGACGGATCTTTTTTTTGATGAATTTCTTTAGCTTTCTTTTGTTCTTCTTTGTTGTGAATTTGATGTTATATCTACTCCTTTAGTTTGAGCCTTATCTGTTTAATCCCAACCTAGCCTCATTCATTCATTTTGGTTAGAGGGTTCTTTGAATACTCATCAGTGTTAATGTCTTTATCTGATTTCTGGTGTTCTGGTCCCATATATTTTCACAAATCATTTTTGGTTTCAAATTTTCTCTGGGCATTGATTTGATATGTTTCGAGTTTACCTATTTGTGAGCGATTATTTAGATTTCATCTCCGTATGATTTTATTTTCTTTTGAAGTGTGATGTGACAAGAAATCTGGTGGTCTGCTGGCTTCTTTGTCTATTATAATCTCAGCATGTTGGCCTTTTCAAGTACTTTTCTGCTATCATTCGTTGATTCCTGTTTAACATCACATGTTTGTTGCTCGAAACGAGCTCTATAATGCAGTAATTGATTAATTTTGGCCGTGGATCTTCCTTTCAATTGGGCTGATTCTTACTTGAATGCTTGATAGATGTTTAAATTCCAATGTTGATAGTTGGCTTCATGTTAATTGAATACTACTATGGTTGTAGTTAGACATGATATTGTTTGTAATTCAACTTGGCTTATAGGGTTGTTGTTAGTTTATTTCTAAATACGCATCTAATTTTTATGTGTTGGTACTGTTTTAGTTCAAAATATGATTAATAATACGTTTGCTCTTTCTCTTTTTTTCCAAGTAATATGTTCCTAGTACATTCTTTCATATATTTGCTAACTTAGTTGTTCTGATGCATAAGTTTTCTGTTTCTGTATGTACCTGCCAATCCTTGGTTGTTTTCTTTTTCTTCTCCTCAAATGATCTCTGTTAATCTCGTCTTGTTGGCTAGAGCCGTCAATATGGGCTAGGTCCGTTGGGCTGGCCTGGCCTAACCCGTGATTTGATAGGCTGGGCTACGATTTTTGGAGCCCATTTAAGGAAAGAGCTTTTTAGCCCGGCCTGAATAAGCCTGTTGATTTGTGGTGGGGCTTGAGAAATATGGATAGGGCCGGCCCATGGGCCAAATAAAAATTAATTAAAAAATAAAAATAAAATAGAGTATTAAAAATAACAGGAGTCTACACTCAAATCTGTTTAAAGTTTGAAATATTACAATTTAAATACAAATTATGTTTATAAATTATATACTACATAAAATAAAGTTCCTAAAATTTCTAGGGAATCACTACATAGGCCATAGCCTATGGAATATTATCATGGTTTTTGTGTTTTATTATGATCATTGGAAAAACAATTAGGTTAATATTTCTATTTAGCTATTTATGTTTTTACTTGAAATCAAACTTAACAAATATTATATAAATAATTTTATATGTGTATTTGATTAACAAATAGTAACACTAGTCGATATTTATGATAATATTTTTAAATTATAATTTAATTTAAAAAATTATAAAAAATATAATTTTAAGAAAAGAGGGCTGGCCCGGCAAAGCCCACGACTTGTGGGCTGGGCCGACCATTTTCTGGCCCACATAAAAAATGGGCTAGCCCGGCCTGGCCTGTTAAGTTGCAAAGCCTGTATGGGTTAGCCCGAATGGGGTGGGCCAGCCCATATTGACAACTCTATTGTTGGCCTTGAGTCATAGTCTAAGTTTTGATTTCTGAATCCAGTTTGCTTGTTTTCTCGATCTGTCACGAGGAAGTTTCCATTTATTTTGCTAGTAAAATCGTGTAAGTTGAATAAGTTATTGCTGTACTTCCTTCTTTATGATGTTTTTTTTTTTTTAGAAATTGATACTACGGACTTTGCGACATGCTTATTTAGTCTTTTATGTACTCTTGTGTTTTTAGCTTTCTACTTGCCTTTATTCAAATGCTATATTCGTAAGCATATCCTTACTTTGGGGGTTGCCTGTTGCCTCCCGTGTATATCAACCTTTTAGAAAACAATTATTTCTCCCTTATCATGTGTTACTGCCTCAATAAGGTATCACCATCCACCTGTTAGTGTTCATTTATTTTTTGGAGTTTAATTTGTTTTGTTTCTTTTTCTTTGTTAATAACAATTAATGCAGTAGTACTCTCACATTCCCCTTTATTAATTGTTAACCACCAAGTGTTTCTCCAAGTAAAATTTGGTTTTCTTCTTTTTATGCTTGTAACATCAAATATGTCGGATACAAAGTGTTGCATCTTATATTTCGGAGTTAGGTTCTTCGTATTATTATCATGAGTATGGGTCGAGTTTCCTGTCAAAGCTATGCCTGTTTGCTTCGGTATCATTGACTCTTCTAAATTATACTCGAGATCCCATGATGAGCTATTAATTTGTATGTTTTGTTTTGTTTATGCATGATTTTCCTCGGGTTGTAGTTGGAGTCAAATCACAAAATAGTTGTAGTTGGAGTCGGCTATATGAATCATCTATAGCTGTTGTGCTTTATTTGGGCCTTCGTCCCTCCTTTTCCCATTTAACTGGTAGTGAAGTTGTTGATGTGGATCTCTAGCTAATATTTATCTTGGAAAATCCCTGTTATTGCACTTGCTTTTGACTGATGAATGGGTTGTTCTCAGGTTTTGATCTTGGTGGATTGTCATATTGTAGATAAACAATCTCTGTAAGGATTTCCACGGTTTCAATGAATAGCACCGATCATGCACCAGAAACACCAACACTTAAAATCAAGGCGTTCTTTGAATCAGCTCCACCACTAAAAGATGCTGCTGAAATACAGACAAAATTGAAGGAATTTGTCGACCGGAATTCATCATCAGGCAATTTTTCTTCCATTCAGCTATCATAGCTTGTATTTTTTCAACTTCCTTTCCACAATCTGGATATTGACAATGCCATGTACTTTATTCTGACTTTGTCTTTATCGTCATGTTCAGGGAATGGTAAAGCAAATAGGGTGGTGTGTGTGACTTCTGGCGGTACAACTGTTCCTTTGGAGAAACGATGTGTTCGTTATATTGATAACTTTAGCTCTGGTCATAGAGGATCTGCTTCCACGGAGTATATCATGAAAAACCATACTTAAATTTTCTAGTACGCATTTGGTTCGTGTAACGTCTTACAGTCAAATTAAACTGGAATTGCAGGTACTTTTTGAAGGCTGGTTATTCTGTCATCTTTCTGTATCGTAGGTTTGTGTCAAGTGCATTGCTATGTATTACCATTATCCTGATCATGTTTCTTCCCTTCGAAAAATATTACTCCCTCCGTCCCTATTTACTTGTCCATATTTCCTTTTTTGGTTGTCCCTATTTAGTTGTCCATTTTGACAAATCAAGAAAGGACAACAAATTTTTTCCTATTATACCCTTATTTACACTTCTTGAAAATTGTAAAAGTGTATGTTGTTTCCCTCCAATTTATTTCACTTGAATTCAAATAAGTGGTTGTAATTTTGAAGTGAAAAGTTGTCATAAGGGTAAAATTGTAACTTCACTGTGCTAATCATTGTTGCCTTAATCTGTGTGCCATTTCTAAAGTGGACAACTAAAAAGGGACGGAGGGAGTATATGCTCTTGACTGGATTTTTAAGGCCATGAAACTCTACATATGCAGGGGAACCTGCCAGCCATTTTGCAGATCACTGCCTGACGATCCATTGCTCGAGTGTTTTACTTCAACTGATGATTCAAGTGTTCAAGGTCTGTTATTTTTGCATTTATGCCCAATACAGATGCATGGGATTTTTTCCGTTTTAACAGGGGGGCAGGAGACCTAATAAAATAGATGTGAGAATTATAAAAGGAGGAAATATAATAATGTGATAGAATTTGGAAAGCTACTTCTGTTTATATTAATATTCCTAATTTCCTTTATGTCGATGTTGCCCACATCCCAGCTTGTTAGGTGCTACCTCGGGTGGTTGGCGGGGATATTTACCACTGTTGCTTGGAATATTTTGAATCTGGCTGATGTTGTTGACCATTTTATGCTTTTCAGTGGACCCATCGCATGCTGAAATGGTGAAGAGAGCCATTACTGAAAATCGTTCTGTAAAGATCTTAATCAATTTTTCATTTAAAAAATTTCAATTACATTTGTCAGTAATTAACTTAAGAATTTCTTATTGCAGGCAGTTAATGGCGGTTTCCTGTTGAAATTACCGTTTACAACAATTTTTGAATATTTGCAGGTCATGTTCAATAGTTTTTTTTGTGTGATAAGTAGGTTATGTTCAATAGATTGGTGCAAATCTATTTGGTATATTCAATTCTAAAAACTTCTACTCTGAGTAAGCAATATGCTCCATATCTGATATGTTGTATGAATGCTTGTAAAAGAGTATTAAATGTGGTTTGTGTTAAACAGATTCTTCGGATGATAGCTGTATCTTTAAGGAGCCTTGGTCCTAGTGCTATGTTCTATCTTGCAGCTGCAGTTTCTGACTTCTATGTACCGTGGGAGAGCATGGTAATTATTTATTCCTTCTTGGCGTTGTTTTGGTTGAATGTGCAGTTGGAAATGGTTGGATGCAGTTCAATCGTTGTGAATTTCTGTTTTTCTTATTTCTCGTCTCCTGTCCTCTTTGTTTCAATAACCAGAAATAGTAATGTATAGAACAATAATAACTAAACCTCAATCGCAAGCTAATTGGAGTCAGGTATATGAATCCTCAACATAATATTTCACTGCTCCATACTTAATTATCTATCACTAAGGTTCTCTTAATATACTCTAGTGAGTATATCTCTAATATACTAAGAGTCTTCTCGTAAGAACTAGCCTTCTAGTAGGCATCATCATTACAGATTTTCAACTTCGATTTTTTCCTATCTTTTGCTAAATCTGTCTGGATTCGGAGATATTTTAAATATTTTGAGATGAATTTTTTCCTTGTGATTTTAGGTCTACCTCTTCCTCTTTTAACACCTTCAATCATCATGTATTCACGTCCTTGAACTGGTGCATCTGGAGGCCTACACAACATGTGACCAAACTATCTCAAGCGATATTCTCTTATTTGTCCTCTATACGTGCTACTTGCACCTTCTAACGGATGTGGTCATTTTTGTGTTATCTAATCTTGTACGATTGATGGATTCATCTTTAGCCTTTATGACACTCATCTTGTGAATATGTTGGAACTTTTAGAGGGCCAACATTCACTTACAATATTGCTGCCCTTAATGTCGTTTTGTAGAACTTACCTTTTACTTTGGTAGGTAGAGATGTTAGTTCGTCTCTCATCTTCTGGTTTCTACTAAATAAAAACTAATTTTTACAGACGATGCATAAGATCCAGTCAGCTTCTGGTCCTTTGGACATGCGGCTTGCTCAAGTACCGAAGATGCTTTATGTGCTTAGAAATGAGTGGGCACCTGTGGCTTTCTGCATATCTTTCAAGGTTAGCTGATCATCTCTCGAGTTTCCTTTACCAATCTTGAAGTCTGCTGTACCAATAAAAATATGGTGTCTGAACAATTAACCTGTGTTGAATATATATTGAGGAGAACTGTGCATATGCTGCTGTCTGGAACTAATAAGATCAAAGTCATATTTTCTTCATCTTATTCTCGCAGCTCTATTTTTATTTTCTCAGGTGTTTATTTGACATACATTTGCAAATACTTGTATTCTATTTCTTACAAGTTTCACGAGTTCAAAACTTATTAAAGAGTTCAAACATAGAGTATATGTGATCTTTCCCCCCATCAAGTTACCATGTGGAGTCTAAACTAACTCAATCAGCATGCATAATCTGAATGTACCATAAAATATGATCGAAAGGAGTGCATAGTTTCTCGCTCCATTCCATCTTATGTGCTCCTTGTTCAGTTAGTGCCTTGGAGGTGGTAGGGGATGGGGAGTGTTATACTTGCGTGCATTTGATAAACGTGAAATTAGTAGTCTAATCTTGCTTAGCAACTTTTTATGTTTAGAATAGAACACTTTCAAGTTGAAAATTATAACTTTTAACCATTTGGTTGAAGTCTCAGGTCAATCGAGGACCAAGGTAACATGAATGTCAATAGTTTGTTGACTTGTTCCATAACATGGTCTTTCCTAGATCAAAACGCTGTTTCCCCCCACAACTATACGTATATATATGTATGTGACCTTTATGGTTTCATATCTCTGCTCATCACATTGTGCGAATACTGATTTCAACGTTTACTTCTTAACAGCTGGAGACAGATACAGATATCCTTTTAGGGAAGGCTGATATGGCCCTCAAAAAGTACAAGATGCATATGGTGGTAGCTAATGAACTTCAAACTCGTAAAGAGGAAGTTATAGTTGTCACAGAGCAGGAAAAAATCACAGTTCGTAGAGACACAACTCAGCCTGGGGCTGATGTCGAAGATCCATTGATTAAGCTTGTCGTGGACAGACATTCAGCATACATCGATGCATGATCTCTTGAGGACTGACCAACGATAGTTTTGCGGATTTGTGAACCTGACTTCTTTGAGGATTGTATTACATCTGTGCAACAATTATGTAACCAGCTATTTTAAAGGAGATAAACCCTTCCACCCCACTTAACCAACTACCACAGGCTCTCTTGAAAGAAGTAAAAGAAAGAGGGTGCCTTTTAGTTGTTCCAATTGATGAGTCTTTTTTTTGTTTTCTTGTTGAAGAATAAGTTTCGTGCACGAAAAAGGCGCTGAATAAATTAGTAAGATATGTTCTTCAGTGTTGGCTCTGATTCTTGCTGTTCCCATGTAGAAGTTAGCAGCACCATATTACTCCTTTTTCTCTGGGCATGATGTATTTCTTGATGATAGCTGTTTATTAGCGTCTTTGTGGCTCTAAATCATACCGATAATGCGGTAACTGGAGCCATCCTTTAACTCTAAACTTGACGTGAATCTCGTCTTGTATGAAAGAGATACAGCATCAATATACCCACAGATAATGAGTCTACAATGGCAAATAGAAAACTAAACGTTTCAACCTTGCCAAGTTCAGTAGAGTACAAAGTTAACCTATGATTGATGTTCATCTAAATAACTTTAAAAGATAACTATTTTTTCATTTGTAAAGTGATGTATGGGAGATATCATATATACAGCTATTTCTTCCTGTATTGCACAACACATTGTTTTAACCTGAAGTAGCTTTCCAAGATACTGTATTCTTCACCAGGTCCATGGAGGCGAACCAATACGCGTTGCATCTTCTATAGATTCTTATCGTCCTCCTCCGCAAGCTCCAGACCTTCAGCAGCCAGAAGCCTGCTAATGACTCTTTTCTTTTCTTCCTCTGCTTTTCGCCGCATTATATCTCTTTTCCTTAAGACAAGTGTATGCCGCTTTAACGTATTATTAAAATTCTCCACAGAAGCCTTTCTCTCTTTAGCAATGATTCGCCTTTCTTCTTCAGGATCCATCTGAAAAGGTCCATTTTGTCAATAAAATTTAGATGACGCTAGGAAAGAAATGTGCATCATATATAGTCTTCAGGAGTGGAATGAAGGGAACGACATAAGGAATGAGGAATGGAAAACTGCATCATATGTATGGTATAATGTAGATTGAGTGACCTGCTGGGTATATGGCTAATGCTAGTTCACCAAATTGTCGAATATCTATCACTACGGTGAGAAGAGAGGAACTGAGAAGAAAGAAAGTGAAGATTGATGAACTGATTAAGACCATCCCAATGTATGTTATAGTATTTTTCTACGTGGGATATTCAGAGCCACATTATGTTAATGAGAAGTTAAAGGATGTCAAAACACATCTTAATATGTGCATATCTTGAAGTGATATTCGTAAGTTAACAAGGGCAATACAGAATGCATGATTAGCAGGCTAGCACACAGAGATACAAAGCGTGTACTATAAGCAGTTCTATACCTTTGAACGAGCAAGGCGGCGGGCCTTCAGATTTAATTCTAGCTGCTGCTGTTCAGCCCATGCAGCAATGGCCATATCACCTCGTTGGTCAAATGCTTTTCGCTTTTTCATTAGCCACTCCACCCACGCTTCGGATGCCTGATGAATAACAGAAAAGCATCATGTTAGTTTGAGAAAATGAAGATACTGCAGGCCCGAGAAGCTAGAGAACAAATAGCACCACATTAAGGAAACACTTCATTGACAGTAAAAAAATATAAACAAATCCAGCCATCTGACAAAGTAAAAGTTTGGGGGCTAATTATGGTGTCAATACTAGAACTTTGCAAAATCACTAAAATCTTAGTATTGGCAAATTCTGTCCACACTGAAAACTTATCAACCAAAAAAAAAAGAAAAAAAGATTCCTGTAATCCTGTCCATTGAATATCTACAACATCCACAATATGCAAAAGGAATATGTAATTTCTCATTTTCATATACATTTCCCTTTCCACGTTGCAAAATTTGGTAGTTTGGAGTACACTAAAGCATGCTCATTTGGCCTAGCAAAATTCGCTTTCACACATCAACAAGAGGGCAATGTGTAGAACAGAGTCATTTAGATTCTAGCTCCTTTTTAGATTATAAACTGATACTACTTGGATAATAAGCAATCTTCTCTTTTTTTAATTGATGAAAAGATAATACATTAACAACTATCAACATTATTCTAAATTTTCACCTTCATGGGGTTTACTCGATTGTCTTTATCATAGTTTCTCCGTTCGTCTGCATCTATAAGAAGCTCGTAAGCAGCTTGAATCTTAATGAATCGAGCTTCAGCAGTTTCTCCTTCCTCAAGAGTCCCTCTGCCATTATAAACTTAGAGGAAACAGAAGTAAGTTCCAGATAGAAGAGAACAGCCGATACAAGGGCTCTAGGAAATTGATTCTCTGACCCAACAAGTAATCACTAGGATTGACCAACAAGAGACGGCAACCATTTACAAAAATTCTTGATAAGATTTTCAAAAGCCTAACCAAGAAAGAAGGCCTAATTTACTGAAATTTTGTTATTTGAGATTCATGATAGAGAAAATGGATATCCACACAACTGTAGTAGCTTGACCAAACTGGTTGAGCTAGGATTTCTTTTGGTATGATTATTAAATATTTCTTAAGTGCAACTGAAATAGCTCCGTACACAGCTAAAATCTCATCTATGATATTTCCAGTTTCTACTTGCGAGAAATGGAGCACCTCAATAAATCAAATATTGATGGAAATGATCTCGTGGACCATAGAAAATATTCCCTATCATCAATTCATGAGTTAGCTTTCTGTCAAGCCTACTTTGGACTTATCAAATCCGGCTTTTGTGCTACAGGTATAGGTCATTTCACTAGTACAAAAAGACATCATATAAATCAGTTCCAAAGATAAAGAGAGATCCTATCCAAGGCTTGTTAAAAAACATAGAAAGGCATTCCACTAGTGAAGATAACTCAAGTCATAGCAAAAGCCAGAGAGCCGGGAGAAAAAGTGGAAGTGTAATATTACATGAAAGGTCTACTAATTGAAGATGAGCGTACAACTTACATATGGACACAGAACAACTTGTCACATTTACGCATACATATACAAGCATATGTATTTACCGTATCTTTTTTCTTCTATACAAGGGCGTGAATAGAAGAGTCTTTTTCTTTACTATTCAGTGTCATGAATTCGATACCAGAGAATACCGTGCCAAACAAGTTCTTTTTTTTGTACATGCCTACAAATATAGCTAAAATCAAAACTAGCAGCAGATCAAACAAGTACTCAACATACTGATGCTGATTACCAAAAAGGCAAAAAAAAGGTAACCAAGAGAAAATGCATGTGTGAGGAATGCACTAAAGTGACAACTAAAAGATTAAGCACAAACCATCTGGATGGTAAAACTTCGCCAATCGTCTATATGACACTTTTATTTGTTCTTCATCAGCATCCCCTTCTAGTTCTGTAAACAGAAACATTGCATCAGTTTTTGCAAATATTGCAAAAGTACTGAAATGCACAGAGTAAGAGGGAAAGGACTCCACTGTGCTTTATAGTCCACTAGCACTAATATGAAGGAGCTCTAAAGGTAGTTTCAGTGTGTCTTATTACTAAAACCAGCAAAATCAAGTTGGTAGTGTATAGACACTTCATAAAAGTTAAATAAGTTGGAATGAGATTGTTCATATAGGCATATGACACTTTTACACATATATCCCAAGATGAAGATGTCCTTTATGAAGCCAGATCAGATAAACACCAAACAAAAAAAAAGAATAATAGAGAAGACAAGAAATGAAAAGACTAAAAGTTGAAAACTCATACACACATAGAACTCTTGAAACTATGAAAATGCACCATGTTAATTAGAAAGATTTGCTACCGATATAGAAATTTTCTTCCAACATGTAGTCTTTGAATATTTTTTTTCCAGCTTCCTTGTTGTTCTAATATGTTAACTTAATCTAGCAGAGCTAATAATTTTGTTTTAACGCAGTTTCGCAACTCCTAGATCCTCTACATTTTGCTAAAAGTCAAGTATTTCACACAACACAAATGTTCCTAAACATTATTCAATTCAAATGTATCTTTGATCAGAAACTATTCGTTCTTCCTTTGCGTTTTCTATAAGATGTTTTTCTCATCATAGTTCCCAGTCAAATTGAGTTCAACTTCTATTCTTTGACAACAATGGTCCACTACGCCTCAATCCCAAACAAGTTGGGGACTTCTATGTGAATCGTCCCCTACCATGATACACCATTTAAACTCATGTCAGACCACTATTATATAAAATACTAACAATTTCAAGTGTCTATTTTCATGGACTGGAAACCTAGAATATATTAAACCACATTTACTCTGCAAAAAATAATAATTTTACACTGTCACTATATATAAGTTAAATCCAAGCAAACCAAAAGTAATTTTTTTATACAGAACTATAAAATCATTTAAAAGCCAACTACATACTTCCTTTTTTAGCAACTCGTTCTGTCAAAATCAGACAAACAAATTGAAACCGAGGGAGTAGTTCGATACTCAAACATACCGAGAGTTTCATAGGGAGACTTTGAATCGTTCCAATTATAAGCAGAAGTAGTCACCATTTTCCTCTGCTGATTCAATCGATGATCCCAAGTTTCAATTCTACTCGAAGTATGATACCATGATTGCAGCACCGGTGGTTTAGTCCATCGAGGAACTGAATTAAGGTTCCAAGTTGAAACCCTAACTGCTGATTTTCCCAATAAGTCTCTGCAACAACAAGTAATTGAAAAATACACAACTTGAGGCCTACAAATAGATCTCAAATTGCTCATAATTTTCTATTTTTGGTTGTTAATTTCACTCTTCACAGAGTATTTCAGATTTCTATGCCATTAATGGAGTAGAAAATTGGAAGAAGATTTGATGAAGTGACAGAGAAATGAATCTTATTTAATTTTAAATTTTTTGTTTCCTCAAAAATTCTCTTCTAATTTTGTGGACGGTTTATTTCGTTACATTTGGAGGAAAAAGAATTAGCTAATGACTGTTGTACCCTCGACCTTTACATTTAAAAACACAATATCTATGTGATGTGTCAATTTATTTGGCTACCACATAGGCGGGCGGTACAACAACTCCGCTATTCTCCCTTTCTAAGTAGGGGTTCAACGGAGCTTCAAATAAAGTATAAAAGAACAATTGATTTTGAGTAGGATATGTAATACGTCCATAAGGATGACGTCGTATCAGACGTCTTGCTTTAACTTCCCTAGCTCCAACTTAGCAGAAGGGGCACCTTTTCCCCCCTTACTCAACATAGGTCCGCCGTTCAT